GTTTTATGAACAGCATAATTTGCTTTGCATTAGCATAACAATGGAGCAGTCACAGGGAGCATGATGGGAGCCATCTTAATGCAGGGGAAGTGAGCTGTGGCACCTACCGCCTCCCACCACCAATCAGATGTGTCGACCTCAAACACCTAAGCAGGGAGTAGAAAGCCAGTTCCACCTCCAAGTGGTTATGACAGGAAAAAGAGTGTCGCTGGCTACGGTCTAGATTTGACACTTCCACATTATATCTGAGATCCAATCAAGAAGATTGGATTTGGGGATTTTGCTGCCGCTGGAAGTGCAGCCTTGCGGTTGGAGAGGAGGTGGTTTTGTCTTAACACATTTACAATAGCTATTGAAATACAAACAGCGGAGGGGGAGAAGGAGAGGGACCTGAATTCACACCTTTGACCTATAGCAAAGGCTGTTGATCTCTGAGGAAGCACGAGAGGACTAGATAGTCCGTAATCAAATCAGCTGTGTCACTCAATTCAATTCTGCATAACCCCGCTCTACTGAACGAGAAGGTTCCCCTCTTTGTATCCCCTTTTGCCACAAATGAAATGTACCACTGCAAGCCTCCAGCACCGTCTATTTCGTGAGGTTGCACGAATGAATTCTCCTGAATGAATCAGCTGTCAATCATTTGGGATTTCATGTGTTATTCTGTAAAGAATGTATTTTTCTTCCCACAAAAAAAAAGGCCTTTTGGCAACCCCGAGTACAAGTTGTACTGACATGTGAGTTACACAGGTAAGTACAAAAAGCAAAAGCAACAGTAAAGGTACTGAAAGAGCAATAGATTTCAGATGCAGTTGGTCTATTGACGCTGCTGTTAGTGGAGAACCTGCTTATCTGTGCCTCTTCTTCTCAGTGGATTTCTACCAGCAGCATTGTTGGTCCAAAGCTTTGCCGTTTATGTCAGTGATAGCCAAACTATTTCCTGCTGGCTAACTCCATTGTAATAGCTCTAGCTATATCTCCAAATATCCATCCTGGTGTCTGCAGGGGATAAGATAAACCACCAAACAACAAAATAAGCATTTCTAAAAACAGAGCCCTGCTTCTTTTACCTCTAGCTCAGTCCGACCTTTGACCTCTGGAAAGCAAAGAGAGCTGCCTTATTTAGCATCCTAGAATCACTTAAAGCTGCTTTACTTCTGCCAGTCTTCCTCTTCACCTCGGACTATTGTCCCTCTTCATCTCCTCCAACTGACTATTAAAATGTCCACACACACACACACACACACACACACACACACACAATGTGGCTTTGACCACAGCCAGCATCTGTTTTTGAAGATACGACGGCAACAACAGCACAATGCAGTTTTTTTTTTGGTGCATCAAGCGCTCTCACTTAATAAACTCTGGCATGACTGGATGATATGGTCTGCCTGCATGGTTTGCAACAATCCCCGTCTTTCTGTCACATGGAGATACATCACGCACGAAGGCTCTTCCCAAGTTTTAAGAGACCACAGAAAACAAACACTGAACGGCGTCGGAAAGACTCTCTTGTTCCCCCATTCCTATCCTTCACTCTTCCTCCTTCAGCAGTCTTATTTTTTTATGGGGTCGTACCGGACACAACCGCGGCCGGAGGAATTATGTTTTCAGGTCGTTAGTCCGTCCGTCCGTCCGGTCCATTCTCGTGAACGCAATACCTCAATTTATACTTTAATACTTCAAATTTGGCACAAATGTACACTTTCACTTAAGGTCAAACGTCCGGGTCCCTGTGTCTTCACGTCCATTTTATTCTTGTGAATGTGATATCTCATTAATGCCTCGAGGGAATTTCTTCAAATATGGCACAAAATGTCACTGTAACCTCACAAAACACATTTTTGCCTATAACTCAAGAATTCTGAAGCTAATAATGACAATTTCACACAAATCTCTAAGAGGACATTTTGGACAGACATGGACGTAAACTGCAACTTGACCGGTTGGCGGAGGCCCACAACTATGAAGCGGTAATTCTAGATGGTTTTGTTTTCTCTTGTTTTCTCTCTGGTACCTCCAATTGTTGCGTTCCTCATTACACCCCTTCCTCCCACCGTGCGCTGCATTTTCAACTCGCTGTGTCTCTCCTCTCTAAGAGCGCGCTCGCTTTGCCTTCCCGTACTGTTGAGAGGCTTATATTTAGCAGCATGACAACGGGGCTCTCTCCGGGGCAAAAGTATTTCGCATTATGCTCCTGACCAACAAGAAAAAAAAAAAAAAAAAAAGAGGTGGAGAAATAAACCTCTACGCTCAAGACTTTTCATTCATTCACCGCCTCACATCCCCTTGCTTGAGCTTACAAGTGTGTGTGTGTGTGAGTGAGGGCTCACATTGTGTCACATGCATCTTAATTCTACAATTACCATTTGATCCTGTTATTGGTTGCAGCTTCACTGTATTGACCGATGGGTGGGTTTGTGGTGTGCAATCAGAGCACATACACACACACACACACACACACAGACTCCATTACATAACACACACCCTCACATACACTCACACACACACACACGCACGCACTAATAATTAGCAAACGGTTCAAATAGCACTCTAGTGTGCTCTTTCAGCTAGCTTGGCTTGGCAAGATAATTGGCATGAGTGCTGAAATGTCACCTGTGCTATGTCTGGTGCATGTATTGTATATCGGCTGTGTGTGCTGGAGTTGAGAGTCACATAGATCGCCTGTAGCCATTCTGACTAGTAGTCAGATCCCAGCACTAGTCTTACACACACACACACACACACACACACACACACACACACCCCGACTCCCACCTGCACACGCAGAATCCGCTTTCAGTGGCAGTGGAGGAGAAGATGTCATCCACCCACGCACTTACCTTCACTGATCCACTGCAACTTACAGCATATTTGCCAAGTACCACACAAGTGCTTCTATTTCCCTCATCCTCTCTCTTTGTCTCTTTCTATGCTGCACACACGCACACACACAAACACACACACACAATTATAATCCGGTGACCACATCAATGATCAAATGGTGGTCGACTCTGTTGTGTGTTGCCCAAATCTCACAGGTTCAGTTCGGCATGAAAGCCCTGAGAGATCGCTGCTGCTTTTCAACAGTTTCGAGACTTTTGATCAGGCTCAAAAGACGCGGCGGATTCTGTTCTAAACTGCGGCAGTTTGAGACCCAAACCCAATTATGGTAAAACCCAAATTTTCATGTTTCGGTGGTCGATGAGAGTCAGAAGCTGTTGTTCCTTATCTCTTTTCAGGCTGTTCTCATTCACTGTTTGTACTTATACCTACGAAAAGTAGGTACTGTAATTAGTATAAAACCCACGTTATCGTGAGCCAGGACGTCCAGGACTGCCGCTAAGGAAGTCAGGGGACAAAGTTATTGAGCTATTTCTGGAGCTTTTGACCGTATCCCACGGCCTTCTTCAGAGGACGACAGAGCTGGTCTTCGGTCATGTGGTAACAGGTGGTCATATAACCCTAATATCATTTTGAAAATCTACCAGAGATACAGTATGTGTCCCCGCACACAAACAATAACTTTTTTTGGACTTGACCATAACCAAGTAATAAATATCTCAGCCTCTTTGATTCCCTTTTCTTTGAGAAGAGGGAACAGGAAGTGCAAAAATGTTAACTCATATCTGGGTTTAAGGACTCATTCCTGCAGCCCTCTATTTTCGCAGTGTCAATGTAAGTTCACTTAAAGTGCTTGTTTTTTCTCTTTTTATTGTATCTCAACAGAGGCCCGTGGGATGGAGCGGTATCTTGGAGCGAGAGAGAACACAGATGCTCTGATTTTCAATAAAGCCGCTTCACACTCCAGGCAAAATCACGCCACTCCGCTCCCACTCTGCAGAGCCCGCGAGCCCCGGTGCCTACAGCCCCCATCCAGTCCAGAGTTCGGCTCAGAGCAAATACGCATACACACAGATAAACACAAAGTCCACCTGTGCATCTGCCAAATGTGTTAATGTGCGACTGTGTGTGAAATTGTGTCAGATACAATAATCAGTGAAGACAAAAAAGTTAAACTATGTTTTCACAACATGAGAAAAGATATTGGGGTGACAGAAGAGGAGATCTGAGTCACATCTATACAGAAATGAAATGCAATTAAAAAAATACAGAAATTACACCAGGACTGCCTGTCAATGCTTGTGTACGTGTGTTTGTGCTGCCCAAATATGTGGCTCAAAGGCACCCACGTCCTAATGCCACTTAGCATTGCAGGACATCAAAGTGAGAAACCCTGGGGGACAAGACAGACCGCCACGGAGACGGAGCTTTGATGAGGATGTGAACCTATGTTTCATTATTAATAATACCCCACTGTGCTGACAAGAAAGTATGGCCGCTCTAATGGAATTCAGCATCTACACTAATAACGTCACGGAGCCTCGATATATTCATTTTAAACTGGTTTAGTGGAAATGAATGGCAAAAATAAAGACGCTGAACATTCATCTTTGATTCACTGCGTGTTGCCAAGAACTCGTGACCTACAAATCGCAATTCTGTATCGACGTTTTAATTATTGAAAAGGTGCTTCAATATGCATTTTTTCAGCCTCGGATGAAGACGGTTCGGCGAAAGTACACGCAGCCATTTAGAGCTGATGGTTTATTCTGCTTTAGTAGCGTGCAGTCTTGAAATAAGGACAGACTCTCTGCACACTCTAGCTATCGCAGACTGCTCTGTGGAGGACAAATTTAGTGCCCGTTGCCATGGTTATGACAGAGCACGCATCCACACACAAATGGAGCAGCGAGACCACGAGGATGCACACCTACACAGCTCTGTCCTCTTTCAATCCACAAACACCACGTGTACATGAGGAGGAACTATGTGTGTGTGTGTGTGTGTGTGTGTGATTATGTGTTAGGTTTGTGTGTGTGTGTGTGCATGTAGGGTATTGTCATGTCTGTGGTGTGTGTGCGCATGAGGAGCACCTGTGGAAGCACTTTTTTTTTTTTTTTTTTTTTTTTTTTACAAGTTGAACACAGACTCACCGTCACAGTGGGGATGGCGGTGACTAGGGAGTAGACGAGGACGGGCGGCGCCTTGCTGTTGTCCTCCGGTCCCGGGTTCGGCTTGGAGTAGGCTTTGTCGAAACAGAAGAAGCCCTGGATGTGCACGGGGAACGTGTCTGTGTACTCAAAGTAGTACGCCAACAGAACGGTCCCTGCCATGATGACCAGCTGGAAATAAAACATATTGGTTCCAGCTTTAGGATTGGATCCGCAGGAGAGGAGGTGGGAGAAGAAAAAGACAGCCGGGGAAAAGAAGGAAGTGGAAAAAATATTGTCACGGATTTATAGGAGAAAAAGAAAGAAATAAAAGGAAGAAAACGGGAGAGATTTTTCCTTCACAGAGCCAAATGATGGATGCTTCGGTAATGTATAAAATGAATCAAGTGTGAGTGGAGAGATAGTGAGAGATGAGGATGAGAGAGAGAGAGGGAGGGAGGGAGAGATAGAGACAGAGGGAGACAAATAAGGAGAAAGACGGATAGAGAGGGGGAAAGAGAGAGCACTGACAGAGAGACGAGGGAGAGAGAGAGAGAGAGCGATCCCTTCAGCGGTGTCAGCGCAGCGTGCAGAGTGGGAGGGTAAAGAAACAAATGGAGACCGATCAAAGAAAATAACGCTGTATGGAGGAAAACAAAAACAGGAAGAGCTGATCGAGGACGGGAGAGAGGAGGGGGGGGGGGGGGGGGGGGAACAAAAGGGGGGAAAAAGAGCAGAGCGGTGGAGAAGACAAGAGGAGGGAGGAAGAGAGAAAGAGAGAGAAGCAACCGTGGGAAAAGCGTTGTGTGTGTGTGTGTGTGAGACTATCTGTATAACTTAAGTTACCAGCTGTACGCAAAGCACAAGTCATGCAGCATAAAATATGATCTCCACAACTATTTTAAACAGTATTTGATAATAGAAAGCATTAGCAATTCCTAACAGAGAGTAAGAGGGGATGATAAACATAGAAAACATGAAAAAAAAAACACGTCATTCTGCACAGATGAGACAGATGCACGAGTACTAATTATTCATTTATACTCCAGTAAACAGCACTCCAACTTCTTTGCCCAACTCCCTGCAGGGAAAACAAACAAAAAATAATCTACAACTGCACACTAAGCTTCTCGAACTGAAAACTGAGGGTTTGTGCAATATTTGTTCGCCCTGCGGGTATGGGCCTGAACCAAAAAAAACTACAAGTAAAAAAAAAAAGGATATATTTATAAATAGCTGATTGGTTGCATCATAATCTGCGACCTGTATTGTTTGCTAGATGAACTTCTATTGTGTGTGGATGACAAATGTATCAGCAGCAAAAACACGAGGAGCCTCTGCTGGCAGGCTGAGCTGCTGGTTTGAGGCCCATGAGGCAGGAAAAGTATCAGCAGTTTGGCAGCTGTTGCTTACAAATTGCTCTGTTAACTTCAAGGGGTTACAATATGTATGGCATTTGTAAGGTTAATAATACAATACCATTGTAAATGACCAGATTAACAACAGTAATTATGAACATACAGTACGTCAAAGCCAGACCTCAAGCAAGGAGGCGGGTTGAATAAACCGACTTGTCTATCACAGGTGTAATTAGTGACATAATTGCTGGAGAGGAAACATCATTGCTGCGGTAGAAAAGTCCAAAAATAACCTCATAACGTCTATTCCTAACCACTTTTCCTTGAGTTAGGAAAAGACAACCGTGGTGTTTGGCGAATCCGACTACACCTTCAGTAAGCTACGTAATTATAATGCGACGGCGGATGCCACTGACGTAGGTCTGCCATGGCGAAACTACAACGAAGGACTACAAAAAGCGCAACTGAAACATGTTTCTATGAAACCTGTCACTCGTGTGCGTGCAGGCTTTATAAAGAGCTTCTTCTGTGAGAGGCTGCTTCACTCGTGGTCTAAAGGAGAGAACCCGGAGCTCCTTCCTTCCTGCTGCTCTCACACTTATCGATCAACAGCGCTTCAGCAGAAACGGACAGTTCACTCGTGCAATATCAATGAAACTGTTCAATATCATTATTTCCTTTGTGCAATAATGTAGATCAAACGGTTTGGTTATATTGAGCTTTTTAACAGTTTAATAATCTATCATAGGCCTAGCTTGTTTAGTTGTTTTACTGATGGTTCTTGTTATTGAGAATGAGAATTTCTTCATTGACAGTTTGCTATATTTACTGTTTATTATATTTATATATATTTTTTTTACTTATTTGTTACATGTTCGAAGTAAATAAATATTAATCAACATAAATCCCATTACTTTATGACTGCATGAGTATAATTGTTAAACCTGTGTAAGATAAGCATATCGTATGTTTTCATGGACGGCCGAATGGTGCGTCACTTTAAATGTTGCCGCCGCAAGGAATTGTGGGGCGGAATTACCTACTTTCCTTTCCTTTCGTAAAGGAAAGTCCAGTGTTTCCTATGCTAAAGGAGCTAATAAAAGAAGCATTGAAGCACCTTTCCTTTTTTAGAGAATTCAAACAGCTCTCATCATGGCGGTCACTTAGATACTTCCGGGTCATTTCACTCAGTTAGGAACCTTCCTAAGCAAAAAGGACTATTCGCCCGCAGCCCAGCCCTATGATCAGTTCTACCTGTGCTCTCCTGCTATGACAGGGGAAAATATCTCCAGTGAAAAACGTCTGACAATCTGAATCTGAATAGTTTGGGCGTAGATTGACTTTTGACATTAGAATCTAGTGAGAACCAAGCAGTTCCTGCAGCTCTTGGTGGTGTTACTTTTTTATTAATAGGAATAAAAAGGATGCTTTTGGGATGAATATTGTGAATATTTGCATTCAAATGAGTTCAATACGGTGTCCAAAAATGCTCTAAAGAAATACGGGGCAGCATTTCACCTCTATACTGTTCATACAATCTAAACTTACAGTCATAAGTAAAACAAAAAAAAAAGACAACTACTAACTAAAAGTTGGACAAGTATACGCAAAATTCAACCAAACTGATGAAACTCTGAGAGACGGTCGAAATAAAACTTCTATCTTAAAATCCCAAACACAATACATAAGACGTATCTGGCATAACATCAGCACTGTAACTTAACATTCTGTCCGGATCTTACACATTGCATCTTCAATGGAATAGTGACATTTTGGCAATTACACTTGACACAGTTCACTTTCTTCACGAAAGTAAGAGGAAAAAATCAATTCCACTCTCATTAGCCTAGCTTAGCTTAGCTTAGCTTAGCATTAAGACAGGAGGCAGGGGGAAACAGCTAGCCTGACTCTGGCCAAGGGTCGAAAAATCCGCCCACGAGCACAACTAAAGCTCACTCAAAAAACACATCACATCTTCTTTGCTCAATCTGAAATGTAAAGAAAAACAAGTTGTTGTTTTATAGTGTGTTACTCACTCCAGGAAATGTCACCATGCTGGGTGATCTTCTAATGCTCAGCTGGAAAGCGGATGAACATGTTTCTCAAAATGTCAAACTATTGCTTTCAGTATTAACGTTTGATGTGACGACATCAGCATCTACACCCACAGTTGTTTTAGTTGCCACGTGTTTGTGCTCATTTCGTTCGTATTTATGTGAAATTATTCTTTGCCGGACTTGACGGAGAGTCCTCTTTCTGCTTTACAGCACCAAACGGGAAAAGTCTCACAGTGGCAGAAGTCTGAACAAGTGAGAAACCATTGAGAGAACCTCCTCCAACATGTTTATCCTCTTCAGCAAAGTGACAGAGTACCCCAGAGTGCTATAGGGGCGGCTGGGGAGGGGGGGGACTTGTTACACGTAACACATTTCAGCATTATTACACACTGAAGAGTGATAATGAACATGGGAGGGAGAGGGTGACCTAATTCAAACCCCTTTACACCGCACGCTCCTCCCCGCTGTCAGCTCGGCTTCTCTGCATCTTTCCTTTTCCTGTTTCCTTTACAGTCACTGAAAATCCGTGGATGACTCCCTTTGTGAAAAATAAAATCAAATAATTGATCTGTGCGTACCCGTGGCAATGTGCAAGCCTAATCGACTGTGATTTGTTTGTGGGTCTTTGCACTGAGGGACCACAGCAAGGAGAGCATCATAATGGGGGGGATGTGTTCGTTGACGACACACATGCCCGAGGCCCCTAAAAGCCAAATCTGTATATATAGTATCAACACATGCAGGCAAACCACACAAACACCTCCATCTTGTAGTATATAAATATAGTCCAAGAATACCAAGCAGCTCCATGTTTTTCCAAGTTCTTTTCCATCTGTGTGTCTGGGTGCGTGGGTGTGCGTGGGTGTGTGTGTGTGTGTGTGTGTGTGTTTCCATGCATGTGTTTGGATTTGTCTGCAGGCATGTGGGTGCATTCCCATGTCTGCGGAGCAACTCTTGACACAGGCACGCTGTGTTGAACATTTCTTTCCATCATCCGTTCCTCTGTTTCTTGCCGAGCTACAGAAGGCTTGAGGGAGTGAGCGAGGGAGGGAGGCGCAGAGAGGTGGGAGAGGGAGCGAGCGAGGGAGGTCCACAAACACCCATTAAAGTTTAAACAAACATTTGAAGACAACTGCGGAAACGGCCTCCCTGGCAGATCGTATGTGTCGTTTTGCTTCTACTTCTGCACTGCTTCGGCATTCAAATCGGCTGTGCTTATTGACGATACCGTCAGTTGGAGAGGTCTAGCAACCGTGTGTGGAATAATAGATGAAAAAAATTCTGGGACAAGATTACCACAGTAACTTTAATCAATATGACTAAAATACAAAAGTTGCAGTACATCTATCTTATTGCATTAACACAAACAGGAAATACAGCCGATCCCTCCTGAATACACGCTTATGGTGAGTTTACATCAAACGGGACGCAAATCTTTCCCTCACATTACTCGCGACAATTTGACCCCAGGATCATTTGAATTTACAATAACTACTACATTTGATTTGTGCATGTTGTGGAAGCCCCAGATACGTCGGAACGGCGTCGTGTCTTGGTTCAGAACATCATACGGACACGCTCGGTTCATTTCAACGAGCTTCAGTGCATCTAGCACGTCGGCTGATTTACTACAGCTGTATGATCATGACAGATTTTGCTGTGATTTAATTGCATTAAATGGACAAAAATGATGCTGATATAACGACATAGTGATGCAGATTTGTAAAAAGTCTGAATTCATGTTTGTCAGGTTGGGTCCGCCAGACGACGAGTAAAC